GATTGTCAGATAACAAACAGACGGCTAGATGGCTAGATAGATCGTTAGATATTGGATGGATAGACAGATCGATCGATAGACAGGTAGGTAGGCAGGCAGGCAGGCAGGCAGGCAGGTAGGTAGGTAGGTAGCTAGGTAGCTAGGTAGCTAGGTAGGTAGGTAGGTAAGTAGGTAGGTAGGTCGGAGGGAGGGAGGGAGGGAGGTAGGTAGGTAGGTAGGTAGGTCGGTCCCAGCACGTCCGTGTCTGGCCGCGCTTTCGTGCAGGTTTTGCGGTTTTCGGTGCTGGGACAGGGCTTTGCTTTGCTTTGGGGAAGGGTGGGAGGGTTGGGGGGTGGGGGCAGGGGGGGATGATGACGACATTGTTACACAGACACCCCGAACAATATTTCCACGAGAGCCGTTTTACTCGGTATTTACAGTACTTTCGTGATGTCGGACCCTCTTACATTGACATAGACACCAAAGATATTCCTCTTGTACCTCTACAGCTTTGTTTGGCGGTCGCAGTTGAAGCCCGACTGCGATTTTCGAAAGCAGCTGGCAAAGGTGTGCTGAGAAAACATGCAACGCCCTACTTGTCAGGTCAGGATGATCCTTGATAGTCATGTTCACAAGCATGTCTTGACTTTGCTCATTTTTGCTGGCAGGCATGGGTTAGAAGCACATTCTACGAAAAGATGCCTTCCAGTAAGCCCTAAACCCCCAGGCCCTAAGCCCCTAATCCCTTTGCAACAGAGCTCAAACCGAAGAGAGAGCAGACAGGCAGCGCTGGATGTGGCATGCCTTGCCATGCCAACCAGCTTCGCACAAGCATTTGCCATGGAGGCACATCCCACCTGCGGAAGGGGCAGGTGAAGAGGACAAGGCTCAGCTTGCACCGGGTTTCGGCTAAGCGGCCGAAAGGGTCACATCAGCTAAATGGCCAGTCGAAGCTCTGAGGCCCAGAAAGTCAAAGCCTGTAAATGCCCCGTTCTGCCTCCGACCAAAACCGTGGCCCAAACATGCCAAGCCTGAAAGCCCCTTAGCCAAGTCACGCTTATTGCAGTTGCTGGGGCAGAGAGGCATGTCGCAGAAGCTGCCTGCTCGGTGACTGGAGTTTCGCAGTACTCCCTTCCGTCCACGATGAAATGACAAGCAGGTGACAAGATCAGCACATCTGCCTGTCCTGCCTAATTCAGCTCCGTGCGGTGAAAAGCGCAATCTCTACAACCTGAAACCCTCAATGAACGCCGGAATACAAGCTTCCAACAGGCAGTACCACGCCAAAGCCCTCAGCCGTTCTATCGAGGTGGTCCTTGCACAGCAGCGTCACAATGACACCTCGTTCCTCGTGCTCGAGACTAAGACTAAGAAGGTGCAAGGGTGCTAAAGAAACACACTTATCAACAGCACCTCACACTGATCTCCAAGCTTCCACCGGCTTCGTTTCTTACATTCCAGCCTATCCATCCGGGCTTGCAGGCGCAGCGACCGGATTCCTCGCAGGTCCCATGGCCACCTCGGGGGCAAGTGAGAAGTGTACTGCCCTGTCTGTCTCTGTCAGAAGGAGTCTGCTTACATGGGATCAGCTCCTGAAGAAAGAGGCTCCCGGGCATCTGAAGCATTTGAGGTCTATAGTCTTCGGGTCGGATGGCAATATTCACGGCAGCAGGTTACAAACAAAGAACATGAACTGTGTGAAACCAGTTTGCATCTGAACCTTGTAACATGTGTGATGGCCTTTGCAAAGTACGCATACATCGTGCGAACTCATTACTTTGAGACAGACCGCATGCGAGAAGACCCCACCTAGAACCGCCCAAACTTCCCCCAGCGAAAACCTATAGGATTCCAGGTTTGGGTGCCCGCAGATTGAATCGAAAACCTGTACAAGTCGAAACCCCGGACCCTAAGCCAACATGCCCGAGGCTCGACACTCAGCTTTGCCGAAAAGATGTGTTCGGGTTTAGGTCTAGGTTTCTGGGCCGCTTGAGTAAGTTAAGATTCATACACTGAGTCGCTGTAAAAAACTGGGTCCAGTGGCTCGGTCGAAATCTTTTGAACCCTACAGCCCTACAGCTCCCAAATGCTCCCAATGTATGAAAACCAACCCAGGCGCTGCAGTTTGCTTCGCACTTCGTGGCCACATGGGTAAGCGCAGGCTTCTGAAGCAGCGATGCAGATGTGTCGCCCCCTGGGGGAAGGGTCTCTTCTGCTCTCTCGCTGCTCTTGTTCGTAATTTTGCAAGTGTCGTTTGCCCTGCCTAGGCATTTCTGAACATCGACAATGAGCTAAGCATGACTTCTAAACCGGGAAGCCGGGAACTCCAGAAAGCCTGGCCTAGCCTCTGATCTTAGATCCGGAATAAACTCAGAACCACACTAACTAGAGCCACACGAGTCGGTTAGACCCTGCTCAAGAGAGTCAGGACTATGTTTGTTCATGTTTGTGCGGCTTGCTGGTGCTGAACAAACCCAGAGGCCCTCAAGCAGACCTCGCAGGTTGGAGGTCGGGAGCAGCTCTGCGGCTGTGCGGCTGACGGCTAGGACAGCCTGCGCAGAACCCTCACAGGTTTTGGGTTTAGGGCTGGTTAGGGTTTAGGGATCCTGGTAGAATCAGGTCATTACAGACTGTGCGTAGTCCTGTTACTGTTGCTTGCATCATGACTGGTAAATGCATTGTTAGAGAAGCTTCTGTCTCTCCAGCTGGCTGTTTAGGATTGCTGCCGGTGCTGTGACTAGAGCTGCTTGAATGGGGAATTATGCCCTCATGTGGCTCTTCCCTCATAGACTGATGTCTGTATTCGCTCAAACACGAGACAACAGTACGGGACCTTCTCTTTCGTCTACAACACTACATGCTCCCATCGTCCAACCTGCATTGAAAGAAATGAAACCAGCTAGTAACTAGCAGCGGCAACTGTCATCATATCTTACCACCGGGACCATCGTCACCCAAGTCTTCCTCACCCCCAGCGTCGATGGCACTGTGCCTTTGCCATCACCGTTACCATCAACAACATCGTCAGGATGACGACGACGAATTCGTCACCAAGATCGCCGTCACATGCCTTTGCCGTTATCGTCATCTGCATTATCATGGTCTTCCTCGTCGCCGTACATCGTCTTTTTGGTCGTCAGCCGTCTTGTCTTCGTCCTCTTCCTAGTTCTTAGTCGGTGTCCTCGTCCTTGTCGACGGACGTCCTCCTCATCAACGCCACATCAAGAACACTTTACATCAGTACCATCCTCATAATAAACACAGTCACAATCATACTTAATCGCAGCGTAATCATAAGAAACATAGTCATCAATGTTATCACCATCAGCTTCATCAGAATCGGCATCATCGTAATCGCCAAGATTGTCGTTGTCTAGTTGACACCCTCCTGGCAATGAAAGAAAATCAGCATGATTTCAACTAGAACCGTTATTAACAAACCCATCACCAGTCATCGCGATCGTCACTGGCATCGTCACCATGACAATCACCACCACCACCACCACCACCACCACCACCCCCGCCGTCGTCGTCGTAGGCATCATGACCATGGTCAGAGTCACCAGCATCACGAGCATTCTAAACGACATGACGGCCATCATTCCCTTTCTCGCTGTCAATCTTCTTCTCGCGCTCCTCCTCCACCCGCTCCTCATCCTGGCCGTCACCTTCATCAGCGTCGTCATCTTCACCCTTGACGTCGTCATGATCATTGCCAGTTTTTGACATCCTGAAAGTCTCAACACTTGTTGCTGCTTACGAAGCGACAGCCTCGCGAGCAACACGAATAGCTCCGCTGGCGGTGGCCTGGGTTTGGAAGGCTGTAACGGTCACTAAGATAAGTTGGATCCCGGACCATCAGCAGTTCTGGGACAAGTGTGGGTGGATGCGTCTTCCTTGACCGAGATACTGTAACAAGCTTGTGCGTGGCTGCGACAATGCTGCAGAGCGCGCCAGTAAACGGCGAAAGAACAGAAACTACATCATGTTCAGGAGCTCCAACACTGTCAAAGGCCTAGTATAATAGCACAAGCATGATGAAGCTTTCAACTTCGCAAGATCCCGCAGCAGTTCAAACAAGCTCCTACTAGGCCTTGAGCTTTCGCGCTCCAGGCTCGAAACAACGAGGCTTGGCACTTTACGGCCAGGAAGATGGCAGATCCCAATATCCTAGTTTTAGGATCCGTCTAAAGAGCTGCGCCCCTCTAATTCTCATTTCAATAGGGTTTGGGGGCAAGTTGTGGTATATTGTGACTTGAATAGGGCTTTTGAATGAGTTATTGTATGTTGTTCATGGTTTTGGGATAAGTTATGGTATAGTAATAAGAGAGTATGCAGGGACGCGATTCCTAAATCAATTCTTAAGACCTATAGTGCTTCTGAGCCATCTTCCTGGGCCTAAACCCGAGGTTCATCTCACAGACAGACGCGCACACACACACACACATGATCTCGAGTGGGGGCCTTTGCTAGCATCCTTGGGCCTAGCAAGCACCTAAGACAAAGGGATAACGGATAACCAATGTTTGGCATATGGGCACCTATTATAAGGAAGATGCCCAACACCCTGATGTTTACTGACGCGCCTGAAACTCGAATCGAACCCAGCCCCTACGCTCCACACAACATCGACACGACCCCGATGTACCTAAATCCGTAAAGCAGCTTTTCAACTCAAAACATCAAGCGGTGCATGGTGTAGGTATTCTACTCACACCCGCCTCTCCTACATCCTCCGACCAATTTCATTGAAATACTTGGCCGCCAAGCACAACTCGGAAATCTGAGCCCAGCCACTCCGGCAGACTCCGCCGGTGCAGGGGTGGAGGCCTCTTTCGCAACCTCCGGGCTGCTTGAGGGATTTGTTTTTTTGCTGGCCTTTTCCTCCCTGCCACAGTCGGAATACCTGGTAGTTAGAGCCTAAACCGAGGACTGCAGACCAGACCATCCCGGGGTGTGAGGTCTAGGGTTTACGGCTTTTGGTTGAGCAGCCATCCCCGGCATCTGGCGGGGGGCAGAGTCCCCAAACCAGTCGTAATTCTTATAACCTCATCATCATTGCTAACAACACTATTGGCGTTATCATCATCATCATCGTCATGTCTTCAAGCACGTCTCAACCTAAACCTAAACTTTACCTGCAAACCTGGCACTTCGATTCAATTAAACCCCTCACCGACCTCTGACCACACCTTAACATCCGAAACTCGAACCCCTCCACCCTCGATTCCAAACCCAAGAACGAAAGAACGAAATCACAATCTCCACACCCTCTACTTGCTGCGAGGTGCTGTGGGAGCGTGGATTTCTTGGCTTGCTGCACCTGAACAAAGATACCACTGACGCTCTGGTCCCAATACAAGGGCTGACCAAAGCTTGATAGGGTTTCGGGGCATCAGGGTACAGTCACAGTTATGCGGGACGACAAGAGGGGCTTGCTTCTGTCTCTTCTGTCTCTCCACCAGTGCCTCAAAAGTCTTTCAATTTCAAGACATGGGCCTTGAGCCTTGGCAGGGCCTGTGAGGCATCATGCTTCGAACGCAGTCGTTCTCTCACTGTCAAGATTCTGCGATGTTCTGGTGTCTCTCCTCATTCTCTTTTCTCACACTGCTCTGTCACCTTGGTTCCTGGCTTCTCCTTCACTATTGTACTTATGACTCATAGAGCATGGCATAGTGACGATGCTCCCCAAGGCCGCCTCCGGGCACGCTTGCATTTGCGGCCTGCTCGATCAGTGCAAGCACTGCAGGCTCCAAGACGACTTTCGCCTGGGCTCCCCGTCTCCGTACATGTTTGACATGCTCCTGTATTTATTGTGGTGCCATCATAATTCCAGTGTCCTGGGGATGCAAGGCTTTGTAAACAGAAAGGGTTCAGGAAGGCTTGGGCACGCCGAGTTTTGAGTTAAGGCTGTCGGGAACCTGGCCGGAGGGCAGGATTCAGCCTGGCAAGTTCAAGCGCTTGGCTTTCTTGTCAAGTGCATTCCCCGCGGGTCAACGAGCTCGCCAAGCCGTTGGTAATATTAAAGTCTCGTGCTGGTGGCATCAACCACCTCGTTCCAAGACTCCACAAACGCCACCTAACCGACATCTCGCTAGATTGAAAACCTTGCCAACAAAAAAATCTGAAACTTTGCGGAACGGTGTGACCTGCTGCGGGGAGTGCTCTGCACCTTCGTCAGCCAAGAAGAGGCTACAACCTTTGCCGGCCCAGCCAGCTTCACATTCGCAAATTCCGCTCCTGCACCAGCCGGGAATCCCCAGGCAAATGGATGGACACGGCATAGAATAGGATATGACATATGAATGCATGATGCAAGGCGGAGGCATCGTCAGGCTCAGGACTCTCGCGAGCAGCTTGTCGTTAAAATAACATTTACTTCTTCTAGACAAACATATGCATATCTGAAAGAAACTACGCACACTAGTTACTAGTTTTCTGTAGAGTCCCGTTTTAATCCTTTAGGCCCCCGAAAACCCGAAAGTACGGATCTTCGGTTTCAGGAGCTTCCTGCCCTAAAGGGAACCTACTTATGCTTATTGTAAGCCCTTTCTCTAGAATCTGTTGAACTCACAGGGCCATGGGGACCATGGAAAGTAGGTTGTGGCAGCTTCTCCACAGTAAGAAAGCAATGTGACGATAACAAGGTGCTTTGATGCAGGCTCTGGGTAATGTAGCGAAACAAAACCGAGACATGCCCGAACTGGCAACAGCCCACTGCGGACCTGCACGTGCCATGGGCGCCGCAGGCGGGGTCGCAACCCGTCGAAGACACGACAAGCCCTGCATCACCTTGCTGTGGGCTGAGGTTTCAGGGTTAAGGGCCCTTCCAGCGAGTTGAAAAGCGTTCGAAGCTATCAAGCTGCCGTAAACGCTTTTGAAACGCATGTTGCGAGCCCGTCTGCGGCTTAGCTGCACCTAAGCGCTAGCACGACCAGGAGCGCCACAGATTGGCAGACCTGCATGGCTCCAGCTGAAATCTCTTCAGAGATCAGCAGCACTGCATTCTCGGACCGTCCACGGCCCTTGGGAGCCGCGGGAAAAGGCCTCTACGCTTGAGGCTGCCACAGCAATCGCGGAGTCGAACCCAAGATGCATAAACGAAGTAACATGAGAGCGCGAGATGGCCATTAGCACGCCACTGAAAGCCACAGGCAAGAGTGGCAAGACCACAAATGGAATGGCACCTTTGCAGGCGTGGACGCAGGCATGGATACATGACATCACCTGCTACGTCCGCATACAGATACGTTTTATCTACCTGCAACAAGACATTACGGTACATCGCGTCGCATGCTGCTGTCCTTTGTGGCATCCATGTACAAGACTCATGCGTAGTATTCATGTTCGCCTGATAAGCTGTTGAGCATCTTGGAATGCTTCCTGGCCTGGCGGAGTGCTCTGTGAAGAAGTCCTGACACAACGAAGGACTCTGCCAACAGGACAGTCACACAATCCAACGGAATCCGGAGCAGCACACGCTGGATATTCTTGCTCTGCTCTGCTGCCCTACTACTACCACTGTTTACAGGTAGATTCCCAGTGCCAGGTGAACATCTCTTTGTAGGGGTCCTCGTGGCAGCAGCCCTCCAGTCTCCCATGGATTCGGAACTCCAGGATACTGCTCGCAAAATGATAGCAATAGCAGTACCTAAACACTAAACCGTAGTAACCTTAAACTGAGAAGAGTGATGATCGAATTGGTCACGGTGATTGTAAACTGTAGTTGTACTCGTAATGGTAGTGGTTGTTATCATGGTAATCGGAATACCACTAGTGATAGTAGTCATAAAAACATAGTACACCTAGTAATAATGTAATACTGATAAGGAGAATAATGGGAGGGTGTCGGAAGGCTCGTCGTGAAATCCTTCGCACCGACCGACGCTTGGGGTTTAGGGGTTAGGGTTTAGGGGTTAAGGTTTAGGGTTTAGGGTAGTCCCCAGAGCTGTGGCTTCGGGCCTTGGGGTTGAATCGGGGTTTAGGGGTTTAGGATGTAGAGTCCATGTAGAGCTTAGGCTGCAGGGTTCAGGGTGTGGCTGCTGGGACTAGTTTGTGGCTTTGGGGCATCGGGTTTAGGGTTTTTTGGGTTTAGGGCTTAGGGGTTTAGGGTTTAGGGGCTAGGGCTTCGGGGGTTTGGGGTGGATCGGCTGGGCTTAGCTGTGCATGGGTTGCAAGGGTTGTCGGGTTCAGCACGTCGGGACTTCACAGACACCAAAAGCCATGACAGTGGACAACTGTAAATCCAAGACATGGTTTGGGGTTCGTTGTGCAGGAACAAACACTTGACAGCTCGCGACTTGGGTTTAACAGGTTGGAGTTCAGGTGGCGCATGGGCTCAGAGTAGCGTGAAGGGCCTGGATGCCCCTGCCATGCTCCGATGCTGAGAACTGGAATACTGAATAGAATCCCATTGAGGCTTCAACATGTGAGGGTCGTGCTGCTTAACAGAAAATGTCTGTTTGATGGTTCACCTTGGAGACACTGTCACTGTCAATGCACATGCCCCAGAATTCAAATCCCTAAACCTAAACCCTCCACCCCTAAAGCCCTAAACCTAAACTCTAAACCGTGTGTGGCGCCTTCATCTCGACCCAGCCCAAAACCCTAAACCCTTAAACCCTGTCCCTGAAAGGAACCTTCAAAGGAACCCTTAGCCCTCACTTCAGTCCTCCAGACCGGAGAGCGTGAACTTCACGGTCTCCGCCTTGGTCTTCTCGGAGGCTTCCTCTTCAAAGGGGTTCAAATTTCGGGGCTGAGGGTTCCCTTCCGAGGGTTTAGGGGTTTCGGGTTTCGGGGTTCCTTTTAAGGGTTTCTAAAAAGCCAGGTTTCCTGTTCCCTGGGGCCGTGGTTTGGGGTTTAGGGTTTAGGATTTAGGGTGTCGAGTGTCGGTTTCAGGTTTTGGGGTTGAAGATTGAGGAAGCGCGTGTCTCCGCAAAACCAGAAGCCAACTGAAAGAGCTCATTATACTTCCCCCTCAGAATCTGCGCATGAGCCATCTCCGCTGTACTCCTCCAACCATTAATCATACACAATCTGACGCGTTGGGTTGATGACAAATATATACGATCATTGCTGTGGATGTGGTCGTGACTTTCGAGGCTAGCATGCTCAGAATTCGGCGAAAACAGGCAGAGGCTCCAGCAAGTCAAGGGATGTTAGAATAATAATAGTAAAAACTGTAAAAATACGAGTAGTAATAGTACTGGAAATGTAATAATCATAATCATGTTCATAATAGCAGTGTCGGGATCACAATGCATGGCTCATGACATGCCACGCCATCAGAATGGGATCCCATCACATGCAAGGACTGCTGCTGCATGCATGTTTACAAGCATGCGAACGAAGCAAGAAAATCCAACAGAGCTCTGTGCATTTGTGCGTGTGCACCTGCATGTGTATATGTACACTGTAATGTACATGTGCACAATACGCACAGTGCTGCTGATGCCTCTGCTATCCATTGCTAGTGCTGCGGCAGTGAACAAGTCTGCACACATAATACAACCAATCAACGGAAGAGCCTTGCTAGACACATGCAGGTCATGCGTTGCTTGTGTGCCCGCGCGGATTCTTGTGTGCATAGAAGTGGCGGAGCTACAGCTGCGCATAGACATAATCTCATCTGTACACACAGTACAATAACAAAGGAAACAACCACAGAACTACATTATTTTTAAAATCAAAGAAGTCAATAACGAATTTTCTCAAAAATCAAAAGCAGTGCTGCTTTTGCATCCGAAGCCGTAGAGTAAACAAGAAACCTTAAAGCAAAGAAGTCTGCTGAGGCGAGAGCTGTCCAAATGTCATCATCATCGGGCTTTAACACCTCAAATGGCTGGAGGAGGCTTAGGGTTGAGAGCCTGAGGGCTCGAAACAAGTATGCGAATACACACATGATGTGTGTATCTATATATATATATATTTATACACACGCAGCTACAGATGTGTAGATACACAAAGACACGTTGAACAAAAACTGCTTCAAGGATATGCACACAAAAGGGTCCAGATTGGACAAGCCCCTTATGGTGCGAAGGTTTCTCGGTGAAGTTCTGCTGTTGGATATTTGTGCGTCTTTGGTGTCGGAGGTCTGACTTACACAAACCTCAAAGCGCTCAAAACTCTGATCGAGACCCGGGTCCCAAGAGCTTAGGGTTTATAGGGGTTAGGGTAATAGATGCAATAGGGTTTAGAGTAGGAGGGTTTGGCATGTTGTGCCAGATAGGACTCCATGGCATGACCACCTAAACCGAAAATCCTCGGCTCCAACTTATCCCCAACTTCTCTGCCCTGGCAGCTGCCATTATCATGCCTGTTAGTAGTATTGATATTGATATTGTTATTGTTGTTGTTATTAGTATCAGTATTAGTAGTATGTTTATTCGCACTATTACTGGTAGTAGTGGTAGTAGTAGAAGAAGAAGTAGTAGTAGTAGTAGTGGTAGTAGTGGTAGTAGTAGTAGTAGTAGTAGTAGTAGTATCACACCCACGAGACCTGCCAACCCTCTCAGCCGGATCGACAGTGTGGATGAACCCGGCAAGCCCTTCACCACTTCTAGTGTTTGAGTACTGCCCGACCCTGTAGCAGTCCTTAGTGGGGGGGTCAGATTAAGGGCTATGTATACTTATGTTACAACTATTGCATGACTGCTACAAAATGGGGGCAGTACTCACGCTACTGTGATTATGAGCAGTAGCAGTGCTGTAATGACGACTAAAATGCCACGATCGCAATGATGACTTCTAGCGGTATGCATCTGTATGCATCCATGCGGTATGTCTCCATCTCGTAATCTAGAATCTGTTTATCGGTCTATCAACAGGTTCATGCATGGATAAGACTCTTGTTGCTTGTTTGCCTGACAAGAGCCCCAGGGCCTGGACGGTGAACGAACACCTCAATCGACCGTCCTTTCAGGCTGCATGAGACATGACTGCTGAAATCAAAGCTGCTTCCGTAATTAACCTTAAAGCCCTAGACCCTAAACCCCAAACCCTAAACCCTTAATGGTTTTCCCCAAACCCTGAACCCCCAAAACCTACGAAGGCCTATGCGCGAATCCCAGGGCGGTCCAATCTCAGACGTCTAAATCTTACAACCTAAACCCTGAACCCCAAACCCCTAAACCCTAAACCATAACTTCATCAACAACATACCAGGCCGTCAGGCTTCCGCTCGAGGCCCGCCACCTGACCCCCAACTTCGCAGCAAACCTTGACAAGACCACGAACCCTAAGACTCCAAATAGCCCCAAGTAGGTACGATTTATAGACTTTGGGCCCCAAAGTAGGTACTGTTTGTGTACTTGGAGTCTTAGGGTAATACATAGGGGGCCTTCATGAATGATTAGAATAGGGTCTTGGGCTAGAGGGTCTCAGGCTGGATTGCAGTTCCCTCTACAATCTGCGCAGAATTCATTTTCCTAGATACTGACACTACGAAATAGAAATAATATAACAGAACATAGCATACATATTAAAGCATACTATGTTCTAACTTGTTATTATACAATATGATATACTTAATAAAATACATAATGCTAGAAAACAATATATAGAACATATCATATCATCTACAACACCAAGTCCTAGCATGTAACAGACATAGCATAACACAACCTAATTTCATATAATATCATTGAATTTCAAGTAATATCATAACAGCAAGTTCAATATGGCCAAGTAAACCAGATAAGATGGGATAATGAAATTAAATATATTCTCACGCCATGTAACAACAAATTGTAAGATCTACGACCATGCAATACCAAAGAATATAGTATATC